TGATTGGCTATCCACTTCTCGGAGATTTTCGTGAATGATCTGCAATTTGTGTAACCGATAACTGTCTCCCCTCGATAAGCGCGGATTTCACCCTAACGTGATCTACTAATTACATATTATAATAATTGGCAAATATATATCAATATATACTGTTTTATTTTAATAAAAATTTTTATTATGTGGTTTATTTTTAGCAAATCAAAAATTTGGCGCGATCTGGTTAACTTAGTCGACTAAATCGATTCGGAAATTATTTTTGTACCCATAATTTTATAATTTCATGCCCAAACTTATTTCTAATTCCTTTATGGCGATTACGTGATATATACCCAACCAAATTACTACAATACTGGAATTGGTTAACACAAATCGACTACAATCACTACCTGCTGTGTCACCTTACAAGGCTTAGTTGCCCTAACCAAAATCGGACGATCACTTTATCTGGTCTAAATGCGCACAACATATGCAGATTTGATGAAATAAAAAAAATTCCTTGTTTTATTTTTAGCAATTTTAACCTTAAATTGTGCGATCAAAACAAAAAAAGATGTGAAATGTTGTAATATCACCACTTACACATCAGAAATTACAATGTTTTGCTGAGTAATGAGTATCACATTAAAAGAATTACCAATAAAAATAAATTGTGGGGTAATTAGTAAGCATGTTTATAGTCGCTTCGTACCTACGTACGAAGTATGTTCACGTATTTTTTAATTGATGCCTTAAATTTATGTTTATTTGAACTAGGGATATAAGGAGTTTGGCCAATGCAATGCGAAATGAAAATATATGAAATACACAAAGACCTGATTTTATATTCATTACTTAATTGATGGCAATGATTCAGAAATTGTATATGATTAAACTGGTCGTCCAAACTCCGATATAGAGTTAGAACCTGGATGTATTTTACAATCCGGATATAAATGTAACCAAATCCGGATTAATCCGGATAATATTTATAATTTACGATTCGGATTAGTTTACAGCTATTTTCATTTTCATAATTCCTGGAACACCTGTTAAAAATTGACCGAATAATTTTTCGGCCAGTTATTGATTTCGGCATGTTACATACATAGATTACATTGCAATTTGAAATATATATCGATATGGTTTCGCACAAACTAAACACACTAAACACGTTGGAAATTTAATAATATTGAACGTGTCGACATTTACATTGTTAAAATTATCTGTAGAACAAGTATCATATGTCTTTTATATATAGGGTAGAAATTTGCGTGTAAGTTTCTAATATATAATTTTTGCATGTAAATAACGTTGATCACAACTTCCATAGTACCGGCATAATTGTGCCAGTGCACTAATTAATGTAAAAGTTACGTACATACATACAATTTTGTAATTTTATTGTATCTATTATGCTGAAATCACAATCGAATCGGCAGAAGCATCATTCGGTTAATTTATCACGTGTTCCAGGAACTATGAAAATAGCTGTAAAACATTATGTCGTGCTTGAAGTTGACATCTGCCTAAAGTTGTAACTTCAGGTGCTTGGGGTTACTAAATTAACTTCTGAAATAGATTTTTTTACATGCATTGGTTAATAATTTTAGGCGATTCAACTTCAGATGTTGTTACAACTTCGAGCAGATGCTAACTTCGAGAAGGACAAATTATATCCGGATATATTTTATTTCAAAAAATTGAATCCGGACTTATTTAAAATTCGGACTAATCCGGATTCATCCACTGTACTACTCCGATAAGCAAAAACAGAAACGGGAACATAAAAAGTTAGCACGTAATGTTGAAAATTCGCTTGAGCTTATAAAACAACAACTTAAACGAAGCATTAGAAAGAGTATGCTGACAAATCGCTGACATTATTTTCTATTCATGTTGCTGGTAGGAATAGATTTATAAAAAACATACGAGGTCAATATTTTTAACAAGTAACTTTATAAGTGATGAACTACAATTATATTATATGGGTGACGCCAAGAGAAAACCAGGAATTCAAAAATAGACTTCCATCCACAGCGAAGTTGTGGGGTTTTTTGATCGGTCGATGTAATAACACGGTGTTATTACATTGACCAATTATATTTTTAGAATTCCTGGTTTTTTCTTGGCGTCACCCATATGCGGAAGGAATCCTAAAAAACTGCCTACTCTCGAGGGCAAGGATTCCATTGCAATCTATCGTAATAACAGATATCCTATATGCTCTCGTTCATTTACTGCTAACTTAAGCGTAAATATTATTATCGAAATTTTATTCTGTAAATGGCACTTATATGTATGTTACAAAAGTTGCTGTTTAACATGAATAAAAAGAATAAGGATGAAGAATGTAGTTCTGACAATGCAATAACATCAACTGTTTCTTCACTACCATGTTCACCATCAAAAGCCAGGCAGGTAAGTGATATAAAACCTCCTGTGTGTGAAAAAGGACAATTAAAAAATGGCAGAATATATCTCGACCTCGATTTTTTCACTATTCTAACGTATCAATAAAGTTGGCCCTGGTATTTTTTTTTAATACCGTACTGAAACTATGCCATGGGCATTACTTTGAGACACGGAACATAAAAGAGAGATAATAATTAAATTAACCAATAAATTTATTTTTGCAAGAACTTTAAAGAAATTAATTATTTGCTCTTTAGATTGTGTCTCGAAACGATGCTCATGGGCGTTGTTTCGCGCGAATATAGTAAATATAATAATAGGATTGGGTGAAACTACACTGGAATTAAGTAGTAAAATCCGCTACATAGATCGCATTAGGGTGAAATCTGCGTCAAGCTATGTTTTTTGTTATGCAAAAGCGGATTTCACCTTGTGATCTACGTGGCGGGTTTTATTAATTCACAATGCGAGTTTCACTTTATCGTATCATAATAATTGCTAAAGGTTATTTGATAAACTTAAGCTACTTCTTACTATGAAGATTTGGTCTCACCTTTTGAAGGTAGTAAGATTTGACCGAACTAAGAATAAACAGTCATGGAGAGTTGAACGCCTTGAAGCTCTCTATTATCTTGGTAAATTAAGAATAGAAAATGGTGTTGAATTCGCGAGAGAAATAAGAAGTGAATTAACAACATTGAGCAATAGCATAAGTATTATGAATTTAATTTATGATCTTGCGAATAAGTGTAGTAAGAAAGGGATAACTTAGTTCTTTCTGCAAACCCGACTTTCGTTCTAGTTATATCTAGCCTATTTTTCACAGAAGGTGGTGTTATTACTTGTGTTATTACTTAACTATAGTGTCATGCTAAAATGGGGGACACAATAAAATAAAAGTTTTAAAAAGAGTTAGATTTTAGGCCTAGTATTTGAGAATGTGACCTGTTAAACAACAGTCGCAGAAAAGTTATATATATAAAAGATGGCCTGGGTGACTGCAATAGATAACACCAAATGCAAAAACATTGTTCTTGACCAACTTGTCCTATTTGCTTGATCCACATGAAAAAAAAATAAAATGCACGTCGATAGAGCTTATTTCCGCTACTACTGTTGCGAGTTGTAAATCATGTGATTTTTTTAATTAAATCAAAAGTTTACGCTAATTAAGTATAAATATAGTAAAATTTGGTCTTAATAATTGCATAATAAATAATAAATAATGTTGCGGCTGAAGCTGGAAATCAAGGGCCCTGATTTTAAACAATATAAACCTACTACGATCCACAAACTCATATCGATATATGATCAAATGCATTTATCTTGTTAATTTTATTATGGTTGACTACACATGTCGCCAATGTATTTATGCTTGTTAATTTTGGTTGACTACACATGTCGCCAAATTACTGTTATTCGACAAATTTTTGCCAATAAGTATATATAAACTAACCCTAAATCCTAAACTAGAGATTGGACCCGTTAAGAAAATCTCTACCCGGGTTATCTGGGTAAGTTATATATTTCGGGTAATCCGGGTCCAATCCCTATCCTAAACTATAAAAAAAATTTTCACATGAAAATATTTAAAATTTTACAGCTTCAGCCGCGACAATAAATAAAAGTTATTTAAGTAATCTTTATATTAATGAATGGAATAAAGTTATGCTTGGGCCCTACAGCAAAAAGAGGAATGGGCCAAATTTTTTTTTTTTAAAAAAAAAATCTATATCTTAAATAAATATCTTAAAGAATTGGATTTATAATAATAAAATTAAAAAATC